TATATATATATATATATATCAAAAACATGTGTATTGCCCAACCCTATAAATGCATTTAAGTACTTAATGGCCCATGATAATGTGAAGTATATAAAATATTTACAATGGAATATCACAATATGCATCCCATAATGCCTTGAATCTTGTACTAGAAGTCATTTATGATTTATGCTACCTGGAGTTCAGTGCCTCAGGGAGACAAATGGAAATACCTCACTCCATTCTGGGATGGAACCAGCAACCCTCTGAGTTCAGACCACAGTGTTAATGATGCATATGTCCTAATTACCCACGAGAGCTCTCCTCCGCGTACGGACCCCTACGCAGTCTGAGGTGCAAGGAGAGAACTTGGACCAGTTGGAGAGCTGGCAGTCGTCTCGGCACAGTAACTGGCAGGGCTGGCTCATAACCGGCATGCTGCTGGCAAACTTCAGACACTGAACCACATCAGCCACTGTACCATCCAGCTGCCTACACGAGATAGCTGCAGATCACACACACAAACACAGCGCTGAGACTCCTGCTGATTACAGAGAGGATGTGCCACAGCACCAGACACCAGAGAAAAGGTGCAGGTGAACAGAAGATGGTTATTTATAGAAATGACAAGAGAGAGAGAGAGAGAGGGAGAGAGAGTCATGCTGTTCATTTTGATCAGAAACCAGTTTAAATTATGCATTACATTTTTGTAGTTTTTATATAATCCAATGATTTTTTTCCAGATGTTCTGGATAATAACAATAATAATAATAATAATAATAATAAAAAAGATTTTATAGATATTTTTGGGTATTTCTGTGTAATTATACTTATTAGCATCCAATAAAACAATATCTAGCCATATCCTAAATATTATACAGCAAAACATAACTAAAAACCATTTATATTCACTGTAGAATTTAAAATATATAATAAAGCTAATATATATATATATTATTATATATAATATGATTAATAATTTATAATATATGTTATAATATATGCACACACACACACACACACACATATATATATATATATATATATATATATATATATATATATATATATATGTGAATTAAAATGATTTAAAAATGCTGATAAAAAAATTATTTTATAGAGATTATTTTTTTAATACTTTATGTAATTAAAATTATTAATGTCCAATAAGACAATATCTAAAATATTACATAGCAGAACATAAAAAACATTAATATTTACTATAGAGGTTTTCATAATTACAATAATTTCCATATTTATTTTCAGGTGTAAAAAGTACTATTTAATTTTTTCCCCATGGTTTTTTATAACTGTGCAAATCTGATGATAAAGTTTGTTCAAAATAAAAAGGGAAAGTACATTAAACTCACTGACACAGAAAGAAATTATGGACAATACCAAAAGCCGATAACTTTCTTAATGTTAAAATTATGTCAAATATATAAAATTATTTTACACATTATGTACATTTATGTAAAAAAAAAACAAAAAAAAAACATTATTGCTTAAGTTTTAAATGCTTCAAGCACTTACATTTTTTTTTTTTAGAAATGATACATTATATTTAAATAATGTAATGGATAAATACTATATTAGGATTGGCCGGTACAAAAAATAAATAAATAAATAAATAAATAAAAATGATTTGTTACATGTGAATACTTAATCAAATAAAATAAAGTAAAATATAAAATAAACATAAAAAGATATGTTTACTTGCTTAATAGTATATGCACCACTATTAAGCTTGTCACCATAACTCAGTTTAATCTATTAAAAAACAGTTACAATATGTCTCACTAAAGAGTTCAACATGAACGCTTCAGAAAGCTACTACATCTGTAAACCAGGTCTGTAAAGCTGTTGTCTTTCCGGTGAGGCTGTTTAATCTATTAAGAAGTGATGTGAGGACAAGTAAAAGGGAACCATTAGGCCAAACTTTAGGCCTCTATAGAGTTCAATATAGTGATGATGCCGACACAACGATGCCCTTCCATACTGTCGACAGCAATCAGATCAAGAGTTTGAAGGATTGCTTCTGCTCCTGACATGCACTGAAGGGCAAATGTGAAGTCTAGTGTGATGGAAGCCCTTGTCAGACCAATATCTATACCAAGAGAATTCATAATAAAGTCTTCCACTGCCTCACGAGTGACAGGAATGGAACTGGAAAAGTGCATATAATAATAGATTTTTGAAAGCGACAGACTCTGAGGAATGAAGCAGAATGCAAATGAGAGAAAGCAATTCACAGATTCAAGAGGAGATCTTAGATCAGATATTATACCAAATTTATGGTTATTGCATAAGATTTCACAGCTAGAGAAACAGTATTTGGATACTGTGGTGGGAAATCACTAAGATAGAATAAATTGTGCCTGAGTTGCTTTAGTATCCGATTAAAGGAATTATGCAAATATGCACAAATTTTGTGTTGAATGCATTTTGCACGCTGTAATTCTCCATTGCGGGTGGTTAGTGAATAAGACAGGTTGTCGTGCAAGAATACTGTGTGCTTAGTGAATATGAGTGTGTAAGAGGGTGAAAGGTCAGAGGTCAGGAGATTCATGGTGCACATGACAGCCGACGTACCTCTAGTTTGGACTCCAGCTCCACAGTTCTCCTGAGCTCCTTTACTGTCTCTGCGGATGCTCCATGGGACCAGCTGACATTTACGCCACTTGTGCGTTTTCCACCTGCAATTTCAGAGCGATATCATTCTAATTATTGGTAGAGGTTGATCAGTTAGTGCACTGGAAATCCTAATTAGCTGCCTTAACTTGAAAAAATATCAGGAAACCCACTGTCTCGGAAAATGAACTCATTTGAATTAAGCTGCCCACAATCTGATAACATTTTTTACTTAACTTCATTCTTTTCATCAGGATTAACCATTTCGCTACCAAGAAGAAAAAAAAAGCTGCATACAGGTTTTAAATGAATAAGTTGAGCATATAATGACAGAATCTTCATTCTGGGGTGAACTATTCCTATAAGTGTGCATATCTTTATTTACTCGAGAAGGTCAGTTTTAGCAAACAATCTATCCTGAATGTCAATAAATGTGAAATCCAGCACAGAATAGCTGATGAGTGCAGAGGCAGCTCTTGTGGGTGAAGGTATACCTGTAACCTGGACAGACAGATGGAGTTGCACACTCTTTCTCTTCATAGAGGACATCTGGACACTCCTGACCTCCATTAGCTGACATCTGGATGATCATTCGATAGCGAAACTGTTTATTCTTCTGCGCATTTGTACCTGTCATTTCAAATACTCCGTTCATGTCATGATTAATTATACTGCATTGTATAGTGCATGATACCTTTATTTCTGCTGTTGCAGTCATAGTTATTATTGTTAAATACTTGGGATGGATGGATGAAAATGACAGACAGACAGAGAGAGATGGATGGAACTATCCATATAAAGATAAAATAATGGATGGATGGATGGATGTGGTGTACCTGTTTCACAGGATGTGGGACACTCAGTCCATTCACTGAAGGGTGTGACGATACAGTCTCTCTTGCAGGGCAGCAGACAGGGTCTCACTGACTCCGGCCGAGGGGCTTCAGGACATCTAAAACATCAAACAGACACTGAGATCACCAGGACACTCAACGCAAGAAAGTGTGAGTTAGTCTCCACATGGCATGTATTCATGTTTTAAAGTTTAAGACCAAGTAAAGAAATTGTAAGGAATAAAAAAGTAAATGTCTTGTATTAGCAACACCAAAGTTTGAAAAAACATCTCCTCAAAACTTACTTTTGTATGTATGTTGAATACTTTTGCTCCTAACCCCTACAAATATATACATGTGACCCTGGACCACAAAACCAGTCTTAAGTCGCTGGGTTATATTTGCAGCTAGAGCAAATATCTAAAGATTCTTATATCAAGATACAGTACATTTACTTGAGAAGCAAAATGAGTTAAGTCTTGTTTTATGAGAAAATGATAAAAATGAAGTGAGTTTATGATTAAAACAAGAACAAATATATGCCAATGAGCGCAGAAAAATTTACTTATTTCAAAGGGTTTTAATACATCATTGACAGATATTTGTTCTTGTTTTAAGCATAAACTTGATTTTTTTCAGTATTTCACTCTTGCATTTGACATCTTTTTACAGTATTTGACTTCTAAATTAAGACACAGTATTGTTAAAAAAAAAAAAAAATTTTTTTAAAGGGATAGTTCCCCAAAAAATCATTTACTCACCCTCATGTTGTCCCAAACCTGTTTCTTTTTTCTATAAAATAATATATTTTGAACAATGATGGGGTCCAAACCACATTGGACCCCATTGACTGTCATTGTATGGAAAAAAATAAAATAAATGAATAAATAAATAATATTATTATTAAAATATAATATGTTAATGTTAATGGTGTTCATTTTTGTGAACTTTCCCTTTAAGTCATTTCAAAGCAAATGCATACAGTAAATATCAAGATTAATATCATAAGAAGACTGAAAAATATCAGGATACATTTTCTTTTCTTTTTTTAGCTATACTAGTTTTAGCTTTATTGGTTTTTGCTATAATGCCCAGCCCAACTCCACAATGTATTACATCCGAATCCTTGCAGAATATGGCTCAGCAGCATCTGTATCACAACAATGCTTCTGTTCTTCCAATCATATTTCCCCTGCTCCGCGGCTGCATTATGTACCAGCCAGACGAGGCAGATAAGGCCTCACATCCTGTTACAGTAGTCAGTCACTGGGTAATACTCTTGTTTTATCACTGTTACAGCTCCTCAATTTAAGATCAGGGGTTAGCTTTAATCTGCTCTGTATTTTAAGCACCGCTCCAACTCAGTTGAATTCCCCTGGATAAAGATAAACAGGGATGCAGCAGTCCAGCAGAGGGACATTCTGTAATCTGATCTTTGATCAAATCCTCTGGGCTCCGGCACGCTGGGATGCAAGTCGCCGTGTGCTCCATGTTTCATGAGGGTTGCAAATCTGCCACAATATAATAAAGCAACAGATATGTAAGGCTGATTCATTCGTAATACCAATAACAGAAGCGGTAAATCCTACCAGAGAAACAAATCCGGTATGGGTGTGCAGGGCTCTCCTGGAGATTGGGTACATTTCTGACAGCGCATTAGCAACATTTCAAGACAGACACTGGCTCAACTATTTAATGCCTAACCTGTTACAACTGGTTAAGAGTGCAAAACACTGCAATATCACATAAGGAAATGACTCATTAAAAAACTAAATTTGTTATTGTTGCGAACAGAAAGGATTAAACAGGAATAAGGCTTGGTAATGTTCCTCATTAAATCATATATTTAACCATGAGGAAGAACAAATGCATCGTTCCCTTGCCCTCTCTAAGTTGTCATTATTTTTCAATTAGGATTAACCGTCATAACTAGCAGTGTGAAATGAGGGATCACATTTTCTTGAAGGTTTTACTGAAGTAGCTCATTAGAGTTTCTGCAAATACTATTATAACGCTGTCTGCGCATTGTTAAATCACTTCTAATAGGATATTCCTTTAACGTACAACTTTTTTGACCTGATAAGCAGTGTGGACAGAATAAAAGAACCAGAACTATCTTGGAAACAAGTCATGCAAGTACAGCTCCTGTCTGCTTAAATGGGGAAATAAACATAATATTCAAACCTGGTGCCAAATGTCAAATCAGTAGTAATATTTGACAATGAACGTATAATTAATGTAGCATCTTCAGCTCAAATGACAATATTTTTCAAGCGCAAGCAGTTAATGCTTATGCTCATTACAGTGCTATTTTAGTATTATTTCTATATTATTATTATTATTATTATACATAAATATACCTATTAAAGTTCTGAGTTAGGTTTTATTTGTATAATTTCAGTTTTAATTTTAGTTCAGGTTTTTAGTCATTTTTATGTGCTTTTGTCATTTTTATTATTATTTTTTTTATATTTAAAAAAAATATATATTTTTTTTTTCTTTCAGTTTTAGTTCAACATAAGTGTATTTATTTCAGTTAACCAAGGCAGCATTTATCATTTTTGTTTTTCATCTAATATTTATATTTTATTTTATTCCCCCTTCCTTCAATTACTGAAAATTAGGTTTTAGTTTTAGTTGACAATAAAAACAAATAAATATTCTCATCTTGCTGTTGAGAGTCTATCTATCGAATAGTGTGTGAGAGTAATTATTGAGTGTTATGGCATCTTCTTCTTGTACTGTCTCTGTTGTGACAGAGGCTGCGTTTACACTGCAAGTCTTAATGCACAGATCCGATCTTTTGACCATATCCGATTTTTTGGCACGTCTGTTTACATTCACTTTAGACACGACTGGTATCCGATATCTGTGTTTACATTAATTCCCACCCAAAAGGATTGTCTGCAGTGATCGCTTTACTACGCACATGGTAGACCCTCGGGTTTTAAATGGCCGTGCTTTTAATTGCTGAGAAATATATGTAGCTTTTAGCTGTTGTATTTTCAAAATTCACGGGGCGGGGGTTGAAAACCAGCTCCTGAATGTGCAATTTCTTACCTATTAAAAAGTTTCCATCTCAATAAAATGCGAGCGCATACAGCATGCCGGCATTAAAAATCTTTAGGAGCAAACGTGTCGCCCTCGCATTGGGAAATCTGTGGAGAATCGGATATGTGTGTTTAGACGTAGGTCGGATGTCCAGATATCAGATGTGTATCTGATTAAAATCCACGTTTGGAAGTGGCTCAGATCGGATGCAAAAAAATCGGATCTCGTGCGGGTTTTTGTGTTTACACGTCTCTTGACATTTGTTTCTTGCTCTTTATTCACTATATTGTCTGTATAAGTAAAAAACAACTAGCTTCTTAAAGCTGTCAGAGAGCGAGAGATAAAACCTGAAGGGCAGCAGCAGTTGTCAGTTACTGTGAGGCACATCAAAGGTCCAGGCTCTGAGCTTTAACATCGCTGTCTGTGCGATTGTGACTTTTCTCTCAGTCTGATGCTGTGAGTGACACAAAGTGGCTCGGGGCAGGAAAACCTGCGTAAGCTCTGCCTGCCCCAGACCTGGGCAAAAACATGATTTATGATTTACTGCAGGTCTAGATGAGGTATTCAAGATGAAATGCAGGTCTGAGAGAGGATGTGAAATTTGATTTTGTTTTGGGTCACATCAAATGCCTCTGAAGCCACGTAAACAATACAACATTTTGGGGGTGACGACTGCATATAAATGAAGTCAAAATTCACCATTTTAGTTTCCTATACACATTTCTGATCTTACTGTTCATGCTAGAGCCCTGCATTTCAGCCCGGGCCCAATGGGCCCTGACTTTTTTACGCCACTCGGGCCGGGCTTCGAGCCAATTTTCACGTCATAGTTCAGACGCTGTCCGGGCCTCGGGCCTGTTTTAGGCTTCTACTTATTTTTATATTTTACGGGCTAGGGCCTGAGTGTCTCGGGCCAGGGCCGGGCTAGGGCCTAAATTTGAGGCCCGTGCAGGGCTCTAGTTCATGCTACCCTTCACTATTCCATAGAATAGACATGATTGTCATTGTATTCATTCATCAAAATGTAGCAACTCCACCTCAGAATCTCTGTTTTTCAACCCCATGTCCAACCACATGACTACATTCTGGTATACAGTATAACGCCCATTTTTCACCATCCAATCAATTTCCAAAATATTTCACAAAAGCTTGTTTCAGTTCCTGGATCAAAAAATAAAATAGGTAATTCAGACTTTTTTCCTCATAATTCTGAGTTCATATCTCACAATTCTGACTTTATTCTTGACATATATCTCAGAATTTGCATTTTTAGAAAAGAAAAGTCAGAAATGCAAGATATTAATGCAGAATTGAAATATAAACTCACAATTGCAAGAAAAAAAGTAAGAACTGTGAGAAAAAAAGTTAAAATATCCTTTTTATTTCATGGTGGTAACAAAAAAAAAAAACCTGAATTGCGAGATATAAACTCAGAATTATTAGATACTGTATAAACATGGAACTGCGAGATATCAAACAAGAATTGGGAAATATAAACTTGTAATTCTGAGAAAAAATTCTGCAGAATGCAGAATTGTGAGAAATAAACTTGCAGTTGCAATACAAAAATGTCAGAATTGTTCAATAAAAACTAGAAATTACTTTTTTTATGTTTCATTTTGTGGCAGAAACAAACAAAAAAAACAGAATTGCAAGATGTAAACCCAGAATTATGAAAAAAAAATAATAATAAAAAAAAGGAATTGCGAGATGTAAACCCAGAATTCTGAGGAAAAATATCTTGCATTCTAAGAATTCTAAGTTTATATCTCGCAATTCTCCGAATATTGTGAGAATAAAAAAGTCTGAATTGTGAGATACAAACTCAGAATTGCGAGAATAAAATCTGAATTATTAGATAAACAGTCGCAATTACCTCATTTCATTGTTTTACTTCTGTAATGTATGGAAGCCCTTTTCCGCGAAAAAAAAAAAGAGTAAAAAGACTTTTTCTACACCATTTCGAACATTGAAAAATGACTGGAATGTTTGAAAATGATTTCTTTTTTTTTTGCAATCCTAAAATATGACACTTCATCAAATTGCACTTTTGCAACCTACGCCGTCTAGACTAAAACTTCTGTAATGTATGGAAGCCCTTTTCCGCGAAAAAAAAAGAGTAAAAATACTTTTTCTACACCATTTCGAACATTGAAAAATGACTGGAATGTTTGAAAATGATTTCTTTTTTTTTTGCAATCCTAAAATATGACACTTCATCAAATTGCACTTTTGCAACCTACGCCGTCTAGACTAAAACACAACTTTCTGCTCCTTGAAGTGGTAAAAAAGCGAGTGGAAAATGCAATATAATAGCTAAGCCTCAATTTGTCTGTGCCAAAAAACCCACTGCTATTGTTTCCACAGAGGACTGTCAGGAGGACAACGACTAAGTGGATCAATGATGTATTTTAGGGGGTTTGTTTGTGCTAAGCCTCAAGAGGTCCCTCATCTAGTGGTGATTAAATTACATTAAAGAATCAAACCCTCTTAATTACCGCTATTATCATCAATAGTAAATTAGGCAGTCTGAAAATGACTGTGCTAATTAGCCTGTATGTGACTCCATGTTTATCCGGCTTTCAGCAGCTCGTTTGCCTGCAGTGGAATGATAGGGTTTGTGAGCACGCAGACATCTGTAGAGCAATTACGATCTGCCACTCAAACACAAGCAATCCATCTTCTTCAGAGCAATTCTCCATCACCACTAACCGAGACACTTGAGTTGAGGTATGATTCACGCCATATGTAACAACATCATCATAACACATGGTAATATTGCGACATGAAATGGCAAAACATTAAGATTACATTCATGTCATGAATTCTGCCATGAATATGTCCAGAATATTTCCAAAACTACAAAAGTAGAAATTATATTTTGTATAAAGATGAATAAAGACCAATTTAGGAAATGCATTTTTGTTTTTGCATTGTGACAATTAAGCATCACATTGTCATTATGCAAAAAACAACAAAAAACAACAACACTGCATTCTCATTACTGTAATGCAGAAAAATAAAATGATGCAGTACAGTATTATGGAATTGAATATTATTGTATTGCACCGCCTTTAATTTAAAATGATTTTAAAATGTTAAAATGAATTAGATTAAAAATAAATAAATAAATAAATACCTAAAAAGTTAAATAAATAAATAATATATGGTGGCATAACAATATACATTAAAAATTATATTTAAAAAAATATGTATTAATTTTTCTTTATAAAAATGTGTTTTAACTGATGAAACATCGTTTGAAGAAGTATGATTTTTTTTTAAAGTGTCAAAAGTGCCTTGAACTGAAGAATCACCCTTATACATTTTGGCATCACAAATCAGGGCACAAAATTATAAGGAAGAGCCTTGGTTACCTAGGGTTTAAAGTTAAACAAAGTGTGAAAAGCCCTATTATTACCCTTCAACTCAATATAAATAATACATTTTATATTGCAGAATGAAAATGAAATCTATATATGTATAAAAAGTAATATAGAGTATATATAAATAACGAAAAACTGAAAAATATATTAATATTTATATTACATATGCATACAGACACATTACAGTAATGGGAATTTATCATGAAAATAATGCCATAATGCAATATATATATATATATATATATATATATATATACACAGTGCTGCTTGAAAGTTTGTGAACTGCAGCTAAATGTTTCTTGTAACTGCTGATCAGTCCTGCACAATGACTTGTAGGAGTTTTAGCCCATTCCTCAGTACAGAACCACTTCAACTCTGTGATGTTAGTGGGTTTCCTCCTATGAACTGCTTGCTTCAGATCCTTCTTCAACATTTCCATTGGATTAAGGTCTGGACTTGAAAGTTTGTGAACTGCAGCTAAATGTTTCTTGTAACTGCTGATCAGTCCTGCACAATGACTTGTAGGAGTTTTAGCCCATTCCTCAGTACAGAACCACTTCAACTCTGTGATGTTAGTGGGTTTCCTCCTATGAACTGCTTGCTTCAGATCCTTCTTCAACATTTCCATTGGATTAAGGTCTGGACTTTGACTTGGCCATTCCAAAACATTAACTTTGTTCTTCTTTAACCACTCTTTGGTAGAGGGACTTGTGTGCTTGGGGTCGTTGTCTTGCTGCATGACCCAGTTTCTCTTGAGACTCAGTTCTCGGACAGATGTCCTGACATTTTCCTTCAGAATTTGCTGGTATAATTCAGAATTCATTGTTCCATCAATGATGGCAAGCCGTCCTGGACCAGATGCAGCAAAACAGGCCCAAACCATGATACAACCACCACCATGTTTCACAGATGGGATAAGGTTCTTATGCTGGAATGCAGTGTTTTCTTTCTCCAAACATAACGCTGCTCATTTAAACCAAAATGTTCTATTTTGGTCTCATCCGTCTTCTAAACCTTTCTCCAATAACACTCTGGCTTGTCTACATGACCTGTAGCAAGCTGCAGACGAGCAGCAATGTTCTTTTTGGAGAGCAGTGGCTTTCTTCTTGAAACTCTGCCATGTACACCATGGTTGTTCAGTGTTCTCCTGAAGGTGGACTCATGAACATTAGCCAATGTGAGAAAGGCCTTTAGTTGCTTAGAAGTCACCATGGGGTCTTTAGTAACCTTGTCCTGCTTTGGAGTGATCTTAGTTGGTCGACCACTTCTGGGGAGGGTAAAAGTGGTCTTTAATTTCTTCCATTTGTACACAATCTGTCTGACTGTGGATTCGTGGAATCCAAACTAAAGATGGCTTTGTAACCTTTTCCAGCCTGATGAGCAACAGCAACTCTTTTTCTGCGGTCCTCAGAGATCTCCTTAGTTCGTGCCATAATTCGCTTCCACAAACCTGATCAAACTATTGATAGATCCATGTTCGTTGAATAAAACAGGACACGCAGTGCCACCTGATAGTCATTGCATTGATTGAAAACACGTCTAAAAAGATGGACTCTAATTTCACCTTAAAAAAAAACTGCTAATCCTAGAGATTCACATATTTTTGCCACTCACAGATATGCAATATTGGATCATTTTCTTGAATAAATAAATGACAAAGAAAATATTTTTGTCTCATTTGTTTGATCGGGCTGTCTCTGTCTACTTTCAGGACATGTGCGAAAATCTGATTATGTTTCGAGTCATATTTATGCAAAAATATAGAAAATACTAAATGGTTCACAAACAGCACTGTAAAAAGCATGCTCTGCCATATTATGGAACTTCTCAACCATGAGCACATCTACATATGACTGCCCATGTTTACATATCAGCAGCTGTTCAGTGTTCTGAAACTTGGAATGTCAATTAACAACAACTTTGCAAAAAGGAAGTTGTTGAAGGATGGTGCAATGCCAATTACATTGGACCAAACAGCAAATCCACAACCTGTAAGATCCCTACTAATTTCACACGCAAAAACGCTGGCCAATCATATAAGAGGTCATTTACATACAGAATTCTTCAGAGAAGGGAAAACATTAATTTAATCTTGCATGTAGACTTACTTTTTGGGCGGTACCTGCCCGACGTTGACTTTTACGCAGATGACCTTGCGCGTTTGCACACCCACGGTGCAGGTGGATTTTTCTGCGCTGGAGGAGGAATTTATGGATGTAGTGGTGTCCTCCACACACTGTCCCCACGGGCCCGTCTGCCAGTGATACACGATGCAAGGATGCTCATTACAGTTCCGCACCTCCTGCAGGGTGCTGGTAACAGCAAATCCACAACCTGTAAGATCCCTACTAATTTCACACGCAAAAACGCTGGCCAATCATATAAGAGGTCATTTACATACAGAATTCTTCAGAGAAGGGAAAACATTAATTTAATCTTGCATGTAGACTTACTTTTTGGGCGGTACCTGCCCGACGTTGACTTTTACGCAGATGACCTTGCGCGTTTGCACACCCACGGTGCAGGTGGATTTTTCTGCGCTGGAGGAGGAATTTATGGATGTAGTGGTGTCCTCCACACACTGTCCCCACGGGCCCGTCTGCCAGTGATACACGATGCAAGGATGCTCATTACAGTTCCGCACCTCCTGCAGGGTGCTGGTGTTCGGACAGCTGGAACCTCCTGCAAGAGTGTGAAGACATGCATTAGGTCTGACACGTGTCTACAGTAGACGCGGCCGGCGTCATGTCATGCCACCACAACTTGAGGTTCTGCACACTGGAAGTGTTAAAGGTGCACGTCAACTCAGGAGAAGACTTCAGCTACAGTTTAAAAAAAATAAAAATAATAACCAGAAATTCACTATGCATCGGTAACATTTTTAATGTTGTGTAAGAAGTCATCAAGGTTGCATTTACTTGATAAAAAAATAAAAAAAATAAACTGTAAAATTGTTAAATATTATTACTATTTAAAATAACTATTTTCTATTTGAATATATTTAAAAATGTAATTTATTTCTGTGGTCCAAAGCTGAATTTTCAGCATCAGTACTCCCAAGTCTTCAGTGTCACATGATCCTTCAGAAATCATTCTAATATGCTGATATGCTGCTCAGGAATTTCAGAATTCTTTGATGAACAGAATATTCAAAAGAACTTATATTAGAATGCTTAAAAGCATTTATTTGAAATCTTTTGAAACATAAATAGTGTACTGTCAGTTTGATCAATTTAATACATCCTTGTTGAATAAAAGTATTTATTTCTGTACATAGACTGCCGCTAATGTTTTCTAAAGTCTCTTCTGCTCACCAAGGCTGCATTTATTTGATTAATAATACAGAAAAAAAAATGTAATATTATTACAATTCAAAATAACAGTTTTCTAATTTAATATACTTTAAAATCGAATTTATCCCAATGAGGTCAAGACTGAATTTTCAGCATCATTACTCGAGGCCTCAGTGTCACATGATCCTTCCGAAATCATTCTGATATGATGATTTATGAACCTGCGATATGTTTTTCAGGATTATTTGATGAATAAAATATTAAAAAGAACAACTGTAAACTTAAAAATGTACTGAAATGAAAAATTATTTTGCATAAGCCTTTAAATGCATACGGAAACGTCTTTTCTTCCTTGTTTTTTTTCTTGCGAGGAAAGGTCAAGTGTTAATTTTCTCAAATCTCAACAAAATGCCGTCATCTCCAGTCGCTTAAACTTGTTCTAATATTGATTAAGATGAAACACTTCACATAATTGCCGCCTCCTAATTCCTCACAAGTGGCAGGTAGTCGATGCAGCCTGCGGAGAGCGGCACGGTGTGTCGAAATAATTGCTGACATTTACAGGTTTGCAGATGACAGAGCAGCCCAGTGGGCCTGTGAATCAAAGCGCTCTCATTCTCAGAGGAAAGCAAGAGCTTTATGAGAAGAAGTGAGCGAATACGTCTGCCTGCTTTAACTTTATAACACGCACAGTATTATAGTTATTGGATCTGACTGTCAGATCCATTAAACAGCTGATTAGTGTGTTTATGTTGGGCATTGAGTTGAAGGGTAATAATAGGGCTTTTCACACTTTGTTTAACTTTAAACCCTAGGTAACCAAGGCTCTTCCTTATAATTTTGTGCCCTGATTTGTGATGCCAAAATGTATAAGGGTGATTCTTCAGTTCAAGGCACTTTTGACACTTTTAAAAAAATCATACTTCTTCAAACGATGTTTCATCAGTTAAAACATTTATCACATGTCCTGAAAAAAGATTTGATCATGGCTTTGATGAGCCTTCAAGTATAATGTGGTATGCAGGGTTATTATCATCATGAACTAAAACTAAAATGAAAACTAAAACCATTTTTAAAAAATTCTGATAAAACTGAAATAAAAATTAATAAGAACTATACAGACATTTTAAAACAAACCTAATAAAAATGACAAAACACTACGAAATAAATAATAAATAAAATGCAAACAGAAAATATAAAAATAAATAAATTCTAAATAGTTACAGAAGATTAAAGCAAAAGGTACAGTAGATAAGCTTTGAACTTTCTAACACGTAGCCGTCAATAAACCTTGAATTCATAAAAACATGTTTCAGAACTAAAATTCTCTAAGCAATTTTGTAACGACATCTAAAAAAGCTGCTGAAAGATTTTGTGATTTCATTGCACAAAAAATATTAAAATTATGTACACTGATGGCAGAGATGAGCTTCACTGTCACTTCTCATTTTCATCATAACCAAACATAATCAACTTTGGGAAAACATGTTTTTTTGTTTTTCCTATGACGATAAAGGCAAATAAATCAAAAAAACAAAACAAAAAACACAAATTAATTTGAAAGTACATATTTTTTCTTATAAAAGCGTTCAGAAAAAGTATTAAAAATAAAGTTGAAGAGATTAAAAAACAGATAATAGAGATTTTCTTACAAGTTTAACATTTCAAAAGCAGGAAAAATTTATTTGAGTCAATAAAACTAAACAACTTTAAAGCTACTATAATAATCTATATTTTAAAAAATAGAATGCATGATGTTTATAAAAGGATTTTTCTGTAAAAGAAGAAAATAATAATTTTAGGGAATGGAGGAATTACATTAAATGAAGAATCATCCATATACAGTATGGAAACAAGGCAGTTTAGCAACAGACAACCAATCATAAACCGCCTCAGAGCTTAGCTCATAAAATATTCATGCACTTTGCATAGCTGCAGTAAGTAAAACTGTTCAGCGTCTGAAGTAAACTCCTAAATTAATGTTATTAAAGTCATACATATGCAAATAAGAAAGCAAGCCAGGGTTTACAAATGTACAGTGTGAAACCTCGTCGACTACTATCATTAATTACTAACCCAGGGTAAAGTAAAACACTGAGAGAAAAAAGAATGAACAAACTGAAGTGTGAAAAGCCCAAATGAGTATTTGCGGTCTTCCTACAAGAACATGTTTGTGTCTCTATGAAGCTTAACTGTGCAGCGTTACGAACGCCTCCACAGAATCTTCACATTGAGCTTTTCAGATGTTCTGCAATCAAAGAAAGCACATTCACTGCTTCATTTCTGTGAGTGTTTCTAATGAACTGATTTCCTGAAATGACAACTCATGATCAGGCTTTAAGCCAGAAACATACAAAACGCAAAGTATGCAAACGTATATGGGAATGCTGGCACATCATATGCATTATTGTACTACTTTTATGGTAACAGCAAAGAAAATTCAGAACATAAATAAATCACTATTTAGGTTTTCTTGAATAATGGTCTAAAAAAAGTGACAAATAAAATACTCTATTAGTGATAATAGTGATTAAATAAAAAAAAATAAAAATAAAAATAAAAAAATAAAATTAAATAAAATTAAATTACATAAAATTAAATTAAATTAAATTAAATTAAAATAACATTACATTACATTACATTACATTACATAAAATTAAATTAAATTAAATTAAATTGAATTGAATATAAAATAAAATAAAATAAAATAAAATTTAATTTAATTTTTGTCCACCTCACATCACTGCTTTAAAATTCCTGGGCCATTAAACTGGATATATTATTATTCAAGTAGCTAGATAAAAACATGTTAACTTCAACAAACTTAAGATCAATCTATTGCTCCACCATGACATTTATTGACCTGAAAGACAAAACTGACCACAGAAGAAAAGAGTTTACACTAATGTGCGCAATAGTGACTCATGCTGCAACACTGAGAAAGCAATGCTATGAACTGCATTCTGAATGCTCTCAACAATATGCTTATACTGTAAGTTTGCATAGCAAGACCTGTTTGCGTTCAAGTATGTACAAGTATGTTTCTGGCTTTTTGCAATGTGCAACAGCAGTTTCATAAGAGACCCAGAGGACTATAATTTTTCTCTTGTTTACAGCATGAGTTTCATCATTCTGCTGACTTGTTCACAAATGCACTCTCAAAGACATGCATTATGTATAAAGTCCCGCTGCATGAACGGCTGCATTCGGCATCTTACGTCAGACCTCAAGCAGATGTCTTGCACAGAAAGCATGGTGAATAGACTCATCGTCACATAAATCTATCCGCCTCCCAAAGGGAATCGCTCAACTCATCGCTCAAAAAGCCAGTAACTTTAGTGGAAAATGGTGCTTAAAGCAATTGCATACAAGCGAAAGATCTCACTTTCTTCATTTATATTCTTCACGGATGCAACATTAAACTTGTGGAAACAAGTCTAAGAATAAAAGACTGCATTAACACTTTCTAACCCTATACATAATCAAACACAAGATATTTATTGCATCTAAATCTACAAACTGCACGCAAGAGATGAAAAGAAAACAACTGTACCATAGAGCTCAGGAAACTATGGAACCCTCGTAAGACCTTGAGAAAAAGCAAAAGTTATGAGCGTCTTCACATTTAACTTCAGAGATGCAGTGGTTAGAGAGTGAATATTTCAGGATCTACTCGACTAGTACTAAGTAAATGTTTTAACATTTACACATTTTTGAGTAATGATAAAAGAATCAAGAGTAAGAAAAGACAGGACTTAGCGGCTACTTCAAACCATTCAAACAAATCTAAGAGGACTTCAACAGGAAAACTACTCTACAGGCCATAAAAACATGAGATGTTTTGACGTGTCACCCTCCATAACTGTAATCCACACCACTACCATTGACGTCACTGTGGAGAAAGCAAAGCAATAATTCAATATAGACTTCTCTGAAGAGAATATGATACATAAACGACAAATGAGAGGAAAATTTACTGCCATTATCAACTCCTATTTGATCCACAAATTTCAAAGGGCTCAAAATTATCAACATGGTCAAAACTTTGCTGAAAAACCTGTTGCATACAATCTACTACATGCCTTCCTTTGTTTAATTGATAGTTTATAATTTTTTAACAAGTAAAATGACTTTTATTGTTATTGTAAAAACGTTCACCTTTAGCTTGTGGTTTCCGTATCTTTTGGCTGTGAAATCTTTACTGATTTTTATTAAGTAAACGTAAGAATAACTTTTATATTGCTAGTAATATTTCAAGATGAACTTACTGGACTGAAGCATCTTAGGTTTACTTGATTAACGATATACTGTATATATATATATATATATA